ATTTCATCAACAATGCAATGAGGGACTGGAGACTCATGAGTAAAAACAACAACGACTCGGTATTGGATCTAAAAAGAGTATACCTACAAATTCATGTGCATAAACGACATGGGCCTTACCAAACTGTAATTTACAAGGATCAACGTTATGCACTTACACGTTTGGGTTTTGGTTTGAACCTAGAACTTGTGATGATGAGCTCAATACTACGATATGTTCTCCAACAAAATTCTGCACTTACAAAATCAACAAAAGGATACATTGATGAAACCTTAGCAACCAATGGAAATGGAAGGAAGCTGGTGGCACATATGAGAAAATGGGGTCTTCACGCGAAAACACATGAATATTTTGGCAAAAACCTAGTTCATACTCTATGATTGGAAGTAACAGTAAATCCATCTACAAAGGAAATGTTTTGGAAGATAGGACACAAGATTCCTATTATTAAAAATGTGCTCACCAAGAGGGAGATATTCTCATTATGTGGTAATCTGGTAGCTAATCTACCAGTTGCTGGATGGTTGAGACTTGCATGCAGTTTTATAAAGAGATGTACAAATAAAGCAGGTTGGGATGAACCGATTACAAATAAGTGCATAAATGAAATGATGCAGGAAGTCGTGGATAAAGTTATCAAATGCAATCCAGCAAAAGGCGTGTGGAATCTCAAACTGTATGGTGTGATCCAAGTTTGCTGGCAAAAGGAATTGTAATAATGCAAGGTGACAAAAAAATAGAACTTTTGGCTTTGATCAAAATCTGATGCAATGCATATCAACGTGGCTGAATTAGATGCATGTATTGAAGGTCTCAATATGGCATTGAAATGGAACCCAAATGATGTCTCTATCAAAACTGATTCTCATAGTGTATTCAGTTGGTTAAATTCTGAATTGACTCATGACATACCTGTAAAATGTGCTGGGCAATGTGAAATGCTAATCCAACGAGTTTATTTAAATGTGCTGGGCAATGTGAAATGCTAAACAAGTCATTTAGATCTCAGACTATGCAAGCTATGGTGTTGAAATGGGAAATAAGAATTATTTATCAAGCTGTTGAAAAACCATCGGGAAATGGAATTGTTAAAAGAGTTCATTTGAAAGTAAAAAGAACAAATGCAAGAACAAAATGTGGAATACCCATGTCTGTCTTCTTAATCAACAACGTACCATCAAAACTACTTTTGAAATTTTTTGCCAACAATACAAACGCGTCCAAATTCCTGCAATCGACAAAGTCGAATCAACACGAAAGTCTCTGAATAGGTCAAGGATGGAAATTTGGTGATAAAGTGTGGGTGAAGCTTAAGCATATGACGCCGTGTACACAGCCATGGTTAAAAGGAAGTTTAATAGCACTGCATAATGGTTTAACAGCTGAAGTTGAAGTCAACCGACATACATTGCCACGACATTTTCATATCTGCAGCATTGTTGTGTAGACAAAAACAAAGAAGATATAATAATTGATGATGATTCGAATCCGACACTGATTAAACCTCCCGAAACGAACTTAAAACACGTAGCAATCAAAGATCAAAGTTCTCAAAAAAATTCCCTGGACGACGGCGAAGTTGACAATAGTATGCACCACATTGATCAAAACTATCCAACAAATTGTGAGAGAGAGTTACAGTCTGTTCGGTTCACTCGCTATGGGAGAATTATGTATGAGCTATTGTTGAGCTGGGGGAGATGTTGTGATTTTAATGTGCGTCAATAATTTGTCAATAATTAGCTTTGCTAATTATTTACAAAAGTCACACATTCAGGCTTGGTCAGGAAGCGGGTGCAATCGCACTCAATAACTGACCACGGAAATAATATTTAGTTGCGAAAAACCGGCCAGATTTTTCAGTTTTGAGAACATTCAAGTTCCCGTATGTTTCCTTGTTTGTCCGCAAAATAATTATTAAGTTATCGTAAATCTTAGAATATTTTGTATTACGGACTTCCACCGAAACATACATAAACTCAAATGTTCTCAAACTTTGTGCGGAAAAATAAAAAAAAGAATATTTGCGAACACAAAAAACCCGCTAAATCTACTAACAGCTAATTCTATTGGTTCAAAAATTACTAACAGAAATTTCTAGAGTATTCAAAAAATACTAACCGAATGTTCTAGAGTATTCTGTTGAATTATTTTAAAAAGTTGTATTATTTGAGTCTTGTTATATTTTCGTCGAGATTTCTAGCATAAATTGTTTTAACAATATACTATCAAATACTTTTATTTTAATACTATGTCATTCTCGAAGCCACATCTACAAAGCTATAAATATTTTAAATTAAGATTAATTGTTTACAAAAATAAATGTTTTAAATTTATGTTTTTAAGTTCTTAGAAATTGGCTAACTAACTTCAATTATTTTTGCTTCAGCCATTCTTACAAACTCGTTATACTTAACTCTGTTTTGCTTTAAATACTAATTAAAATTATAAAGCCCACTCACTAAACATTATCAGCGGTAATGTGAAGCTGTTCCGCTTCCTCCTCACTAAGTAATTTAACGTCTTTAGTTAATTTCTATCTAGTTAATTGAATTTCTACAGTAACTCAATGATTTAATTATTTCATTTGTTCATCTTAGTAAAAAGAATATTTCAAATGTATTAAACTTTTCAAACTAAGCGAAGCATAAAACAGTTATTAAAATTTTTATTTATATATAATATTATAATATTAAACCTTTTTATTTATACATAAATCATCTAGAGTTAGTATTACTGGTTGTTGGACTTTTCAGGGCCGCGGGCTGCATTATTTTAGTGGCATTTATTATGTGCCACAGCGTAAAAATGACTAAAAAAAATACCGAATGGTCCTTTTGACTATTTCGCGGCCTCTAAAAATGTGAGTCCTGGGGCTATAGCCCTTCTACCCCATCCCCCTCTCCCCCACCTCCTCAATCCAGCACTGGAAATAAGACATAAGTATATAAATAAAAAATTTATACTCGTTGATAAATTAAAGAACATTTGTTTCCTTATTAAACAATCATTAACAGTAAGTTGTTACTTTATATAAAAAGCTGTTTTCTTTTTTTAACTGTCTCTCAACGGTCCAGTTAATCTTGTTGCGCGTTTTTGTTTGTTTTTTAAAATGTTCTCAAAACGACTAAAAAATCTGGCCGGTTTTATGCAACTAAATATTATTTCCGTAGTCATTTATTGACTGCGATCGCACCCGCTTCCTGACCAAGCCTGCACATTGCATATTTTTACTATTATAACGTTTTGTTATAATGACCACTAATTATTGACAAGAGTCACAAGTTAAATTTTTAAATACTATATATAGTGAACAAATTCTTTGTAAGAACGTTGAGATTGTTGATAAGTAATAAAAACATTAAAAACAAAATGGTTTCTAAATGCGTTGAACAACAACTTATTAAAAAAAATTAACAAATTAAAAAAAATTTTAATTAAATTAAAACTTCTATTATGGATGTAACTCTTTATTTGAAATTAACTTTCATACAATATTTCAAGGGATTATTGATACCCTCGTTGTCAAGTATATAAATAAAATTTAAAAAAAATAAATTAAAAAAAAAAAAATTTTAATTTTACATGTTGGATTATATTTATTTAGTGATGTATATAAAAAATTTGATTACTTATTTTATTAGAAAAATATTCATCTCGTGTATTTTAAAGTTTGCTTCGCTTAATTACTATTTTTATTATGCTAGTTTATTTAACTCAAACACTTAACGATACTTTGAACAAACAACAAAAACACGCTACAGCAAATGTTTTTTATAACCATCATAGACTAAATATGATAGTGAAAACCCAATCTGATTGTGCAAATCTGAACTGAGTTAAAAAAAACTCTGTGGTGAGTGAAAAATTTATTATTGAAACCAGATGTTTTTTTAAATGGTTTTAACTTCTAAAACTGCTTCTTCACAGTGACAAATGTTTGCTTGTTGTACAGAATCACAAAAACCATTTCACAACTAAAACTTATCAAAACAGAGCCACTAATAAGTAAAAGTTTATAGATTGAAGATTAAAAACTTGTCATTGCATTGTACATTTCTATACAATTTCCAAAAAGATAGTGACTCAAATCAGCTTCTGGAAAAATGAATGTTAAAAAAAAAAAAAACTACTCTAATTATATTAAAAAGATGAAATTTTGACAAATAATTTCCAAAACAGTTTTTCACACCTTTATGATCTATTTCAAAATTTATTGTTACTCAAAGATGATTTTGGTGAGGTTGTACAACTTAGTACTTTAGTCAATTTATTTCATTTCAATTTTAGCACACTTGGTATAGTTAAGGAACTTTTAAAATAATAGAGCGTCTGTATGATATTTTGTTGACTGCAACATTTTTCCGTTAAATAGTCTGGTCTGTGAATTACGAAAAGACTAAAAAACTTAAAATGATAAATTTTGCGGTACCATAAAATATAAATGTTTGTAGCGAAAAAATTATAGCATTTAAAGATCTTGTTTGGACATAATATGCTGACAAAATCATGCTAATTCCAAATAAAAGTATTCGAATATTTTGTAAATCGCCTTAACTACACCAAGCAAGAGTTTCAACTTTTTGAACTATTTTCAATAAATGATGAAGCTTTTCTTAAAACTGTATTTTAACTATGCAAAATTAATGTTTTATTTAGGATAAGTAATGGTGAACTTTATTTCCAATGTGGTGGGATAAATTTTAATGGTGGAGAAATGTGTAAATTTTCATAAAAAAAACTTTTAAAAAAGCATTCAAAGAAAGAAATGGGAAATTTTTATTTGTTGCAAACTTAAAGGTTTTTCAAAACATTTGAACATTTGATTGGGTTCTTTTATTAAATATAGTAATCAAGCAGTAATTTTTATCAAAAAAATCTTGTTAAATTAGTATTCACAATGTTATGAATTTTTTCTTTTTAAATTTTTGAATCTTGTTGAATTAATATAAAATAAATATAAAAAGAAAACATATTCAAAAAAATAAAAAAAACCTTACTTGCTCCATTTTCAACAAGTAATTTCACAATATTAAAATGACCATATCGAACTGCATAATGAAGAGCTGTAGTCTCCTCTTCATCTTTTTTGTTAACTTTTCTTCTGTCTTTACCATATTGACTCAAATAATTTTCAACAGTTTTTACCTGACCATCTCTGGCTGCCTAGAATATTATTTGATCAGTTCAACAAAAACTTCTAAGACATTTTTAAAAGATAATTGTAATAATATTATAAAAAGTATGTTAGGTATACTACATACTTGATGTAATGTTAACAGAGAGGCTTTGTTTAAAGCATCTGCTTTTTTTTGCTTTGAATTTGGATCAAGTGGTACTAAAACACTAAGGATTTCATCTTGGTGGAATTTTGTTACAAAATGATGATCATTTCCATTCTTTTCTTTGTTTGTCATTATTTGTAAAAACTGAAATACAATTTTAAATTATATGCAAAAAAATATAGTTGACTTTATATAAAAATACTTGTAAAAATTCACAAACATTAAGTTTACTTAAGTAAAACTATACATTAAATATCTTTCTTATAAAACTATATATTAGATGAGCTTTATGTTTAAAATCAAGTTAACAAACTTTTATCATTAGCATTGCAACAGTTGTTTACTTTAGAGTTAAATTTACAGTGTTGCTAATCTCAATAATCCTTATGACTTAATTACTTTATTAATTAAACTTTCAGCATTGCTTAGTTTCAATAGTTTTTATAAATCTTTTTAAGAAACAATAACAGCTCTACCTTAATTGGCAGTTTCACCAGTATTTCAAACACAAAAATTATTTATCTTTTAAAACTATTTGTATCTATTCAAGCAGATTCATAGCTACAGACAAAAGCTACCACTGAACATTACTCAAAAAATGCTAGATTTCATTTTCGATAAAGAATACTAAACAAACAAACAAAAAGATCTTCTTGGATTGAATGTATCAACTATTATTTACAAAAACCTCATGACTTTAAATTGCAAATTAAAGCTCATAATTTAAAAAATTGTTTTAAAAACAAAATATTTTAAAAACAAACTTTAAAAGTATACTAGAAAAATTATCGAGCAAAGAATAACAACAACAGTAAAAATATATATTTATATATTATATGTACTTGCGCTTCTTAATTGATTTGAATGGTTTTCTCGTGATTAGATTTTTTTGATTTAAAACTAGGTTATTTTTGTGTTATGATTTTTTTTCCCGGTGTATTTGTTGTTTTTTTTATCACTACCGAACCTAACGAACAAATTTAATAAAAGACAGAGTAATGGAGAAACAGGGGGTGGGGGGTTAATGGGAAGCTTGAAAAAATAAAAATATGAAAATTAGAAAATTTTTTAGCAGCATCCTGACACTAATGGGTTGTCTATAAATGGTGGGGGGATGGGAGAGGGATTAGTGGCTTTGTCACGCTAGTATAACTATATTTTCTCTTTATCATCCAGCAATAAATTGCATGTAAAATAAATTAAATCAACTAAAACTCCAAAATTGCTCTCGCAATTGTTAGCATTAGATGCTAATAACCAGCCGGTATGTTTCAGATTTCTAGGTACATTCTCCTCCATCAAAATATTAAACCACTCTCTCTTTTCTTTCAAATTCCAAAACTAGAACCTTTTAATATTGACACAACATTGGCATTGGAATTTATTTTTTTTCCATTTATCATTCACTGGACAAAGTTTAAATTAAGTGTGTTGCAAACACTTCATTTATAAAGATTTTTTTATTCTGTATTATCTGTAATTGACTGATTATCAGTGAATAGCAAATTCAATTTTTCAACAAGCCTGATAAAAAGATTTATTTTGTTCATTAGCAGAATAGTTGAAATATCCTCTATTTTAAAAAACTGATATAGGAAATTTTTACTGTTCTTCGAGATACAGAAAAATGATTTTAGGACTGCTTTTTCAACAGCGTCTATTTAGCTAAGAAAACTAAAATTATATTTGCATAGCTCAAGGCCATAAATAAGCTTCAGCATAATTAAGGTATTGTACAAATGAACTATTGTTGACGGCTGGCAGTAACAAATCCCACTGTCAATTAGAGCTATTGCTCTATTATCATTTATTGTTGATCCTACTTTACATTCTGAGACTATTTCATTTAGGGTGCTTTAACTTTATATATTTTTTTTAAATGCGGCGATAGAACAGACCCTTGTCGTACCCCTTGTGATAGATTGAATTGTTTTGAGGTAACTCCTTGATAGGATATGTTTGCAGTACCAGAAAAATAAAGCGATGAAATTGTGTGTACTGCAGACAATGAAAGTTTTTTTGGAAATAAAGCTTCTCAAATAGCAAAAAAATTATTGCTATTATGAGAATTTTTAAGATGTTTAGTACTTTCCCCACAGCTATCTGGGAACTTATTATTATTTAACTATGAGATGCAATTTATAATATCTGCTGATGTAATTACTAGTGAAATAGGCTCATGTGGAAATTTAGATGAATTATAGTTATTGTTTGTAATAAGAAGTGTATTGAGTTTGAAAATGATTTCTAAAGTTTTTAACAATATCTTTTATGTTTTGCGATTTATTAATTGTAAATAATTGAGTTGTTGCTTTAATTTTGAATTTACGAACGTTATCTCAGAACTACTGAGGATTTATATTTGAAGATTTTCAATATTTATAGCTTTTTCGTGGATCTTTTGGTTATCAACTGTTTTAACCAATTTACGGAAGTTTTTACGTGCAAGAGTGTATCTTTTGTATTTAATGCATTTTTGTGTTTTATTATAATTAGATTTTTGCCATTGTTTATAGTTAAATGAAAGATTTTCTATCCATTTTTAAAGGTCCGTTGTCCATCACAATTTGAAGTATTTAAAAATTTCGAATTGTTTAAAACACTGCTTAACTGCTAATAGAGCAGCATTTTTTTTGCAGCATTTTTGATTTTTTCGCATGTTTGTTTTAATTCTTGTTCAATTTATTCTTTATTGAAGGTGGAATTATTAAAAGCTATAGAGAGGTTATAATTATACAAGTAAAGAAGTTTTTGTTATTCCATGCATATTTTGGAATATGATTATATTTATGTGTTGTGTTATTTATTACGGTTGGTAGATTAGTATGTGTCACGGTAAGGAAGTAGGCGTGAACTTCCTGGTTAAATCAATGATATATTAAAAATAACTTAGTTATTCTTAATATATCATTGGGTTAAATGCACTTCCGCGGTGCTCTGTGACAAGACCGTTAGGTCTTCTTGGGGCACTTAAATAGCAATTAAAAAAAAAAATTGTTGCATGTACGTTGAAAAAAATTCCTTGTTTCCTTCCATTTTCAATTAAAATTTGGTATTCGAGTTGAGTAAAAATGTTGCCTTGCAAAAGAAGGTTGTTCTTGAAACGTAGAAAATATTTTTTTAAGATGGTTGTACAAAGTGCAGCGTATTAACTGCACTATGCTGTGGTGATTTGCTTCTTGAGGTATCACAATGAAGTCTGAATGGTTAAACAATAATATTATTGTCCCAAACGATTTAACGATAATATTATTGTCCTAGACATCAGAGTTTAGGATTATGTCTTTTTTAGTACTTTTCATCTTCACTTTGAATGAACGATTGTATTTATTTTCACGGTTAAATTCTACATCAATCGGTTTGATACTTATTTTAATTTTGATGAGATTAGACAGATCTTACTCCGATATTGAGTTACAGACCCCTCCTACAAAGATATAAAACTCTCGCGCCGTATGTTCGCCAGCAATAGTGTTTCTGTTGAATGCAACTTTATTTCCAAAAATGGGCTTTACTCTAGCCTTTTCTGTTGGGGCTTTATTTGCTACATTATTTTTTTTAACTGCCAAAAAGGAACAATCATTTTTTTTTCCAATCCTCTACTTTTTCAATAAATGATTGTTGTATTTGAACTATTTTAGCATAAGTGACTGTGTTTTGATTTCCGTTTTCGAATGTTTTTAAACTAGGCTTTATAACGTTAGTCTCATCATAAGCGAATTGATTGTTTTAATGCAATCGACGAGCTCTTTTAATGCTGACAATAGATTTCAGCGTTAGACTAGCTCTAAAGGTGAGTTTCCACTCATCCGTTTTTTCACGGGAACGGTAAAGGGAAGGTAAAAATAATCACGTGGGCATGCGTATTCTAAGTTTTAATTTGTCCGAAGTAAAACTACGCATGCTCACGTGATTATTTTCCTATCCCGTTTCCGAAGAAAAACCTAGGATGAGTGGAAACTCACCTAAAAACAGCATATTTTGAAACCCTATACAAGCTCAGGATAGGCAGAGATATGCGCAATCTGATCAGCTGATTTTGAAAGAAAGGCTTTAGCGCGTATGTTAAAATCAAAACAAATGTCAAAAAAGCTTGCTGAATAATAAAAATGAAAATGAATAAAAATATAAAAAATCGAATAATGATAACAGAAAGAGTATGACTTTTCTATCAAATTTTGTACAATATAGTATTATACTTTTACAAACTTTTTTTTTTCATGGTGGCTGCATAATTTACCTGATAACATCAATAGAATATCAATAACCCAGCATGATTTATTTCAAATCCATCCAATCATTCAGCGAAAAAAATATTTTTAAAAATTCCCTGATTTTTTTTTAGAACTTTACACTAATAACTCCCATATACAGTATTGGACAAAACATTTGCAACCAACATCGAACTATGCTAAAATGTGTTACTAATTTTACATGTCTTAAAAACGAAACGAACTATACTACCACAGCAAACAGTTCAGGAGTCTGGAGTCATAGCATGCCATGTCATGAGCAATCAGCTGACAGGTGCCATTTTGCAGCGAACAAAACAAGTGCAATATTTCTGGTTTGTTTCATTTTCTTAAGTCTGGTCCGTGTCAACGTCACAGAAGTTTTTTAATAACTAAAGGAAGTATCTAGAAGTTTCTAGAAGTTTCCAGAAGCATGCAGAAGCTTCCAGAAGTTTCCAGAAGAAGCATCTGAAAGCATCCAGATATTTCATATATGTCAATATATGAAAGTATTATCAAGACAGTTTATCGAAGTGAGTTTTATCAAAGTGTTTTATCAAAGAACATCAATACAAGAAGTGAAATACAACAAGTGTTTCATTACATCAATACAGCCCATATCCAACCAAAACGTTGTGTTCCACAGAGCATTATTGTATCATCACAAAGTAAATGTAACACGGTAAGCCTTGAGAAGCGTGATTATTTATTTTTATTATTTTTATGACTTCAAGTGCAAAAATGGCTCCCGACAGTCTTGGATTGGAACTAAGAAAGAAAACTATTGGCGAATACGTAAGTGGAATGTCACAAAAAAGTATTTTTGATAAATATCGCGTGAAAAAATGGACCGTATCAAGACTATGTTCCAAATATCGTTCTACGGGGAAGTTGGCAGCAGATAACAAAGATGGAACACCACGTTCTACCACTTCTAGAGAGGATTTTATGATCATCAGATTCGTCAAGAAGGATCCCTGGATATCATCAGTTGAGATACAAAAGCAATTAGAGCTGTCTGTATCAGACCGTACAATCAGACGACGTGCTGTTGAAGCCGGATTGTTTTCTCGACGCCCTGTAAAGAAACCGCTGATTTCACTAAAGAGCCAGAAAAAAAGACTCCTGTTTGTTACATCTCCTATTGACTGTAATGTGCAGAAATGGCGAACTGTCCTGTTCAGTGATGAATTGAAGTTCAACATCATTGGGAGCGATGGCATTTGCCGTGTACGTCGACCGGCCGGAAAACGCCTCAAATTACGT